CCGCAATGAGGAAAGTACAGCGATGCGGTTAACCTCAAATCCAAAATAGCATCCCAATCCTACTGCCTTTTCAGCATCTGCTGCTATTCTGCGAGCGAAGCGAAAGTTTACAAGATTTGGGTGATTCCCAAATCTTTTTTTGCATATAATCAATGTCGCTTTTCTGCAAGCGAATCGAATGTTTATATTCAGACATGGGAAATTTCCAAGTCTTTTCGGCTTATGCCGCCATTCTGTGAGTGAAGCGAGTTTATCGCCAGACAAACATTTCCATTTCACTTCAACTGCATGTGGACTGATTCTCCAAATGCCCGTCCCACGGGATTTCTAAGGTTCTTTATTACATGGGCCAATCAAAACTGATGCTTAATGTATGGTTATTGTATTTCTGTTTATCATTACCTCCCCCTTTCACAGCCTAATAAGTTAGATTAAATCTTTACTGTCAAAAAGAAACATACAATGTTGCATTATGATTTATGACATTCTACTTTAGAAAAACCGACACTAATTCAAAAACATTTTAAATAGAAATTTATAAATGCCATCGCTATATTTTCACCATATGACATGTTCTTTTCTTACTTCTATGTGTTATTTACACTCCCCTCCATAAGTTTGGTATCCGAAAGTCAGCTTTTTTATCACTTATCAAAGCCAGTTTATGTTTGGCTATTTTGAAAAAAACATCAGATTTGTCGGAAATTTTCGAAGTATTGTATTTAAAGAACAAAATAAATATTCAAAGAAAATCACTGCTTTAACATGCTCTCCAGTGAAAACTTCCAATTGAGAAACTTATGGAGGGGAGTGTATATTGTAACCAATATATGTCAACATTTCCACTAGACCAAATGATGTCAAGCTCTATAATAGTACAGGCTCTAATGGAAATGCATATATTTTAATCGTTTGTGTAGATGTCAGACTGAAATGCATACACAAAGGATCACTATAAAAGAGAGAATAACGTTTTGTATACATTAATGTTAAAAATTTGTTTTCGGATTTTATTAACTAAGTTTGCAACAATATCAGCTCTGTATTTGTGCTTTAGATGTCTGAAAAATCCAATGTCACTTTTACCGCCTCGGGCATAAATGCAAGCTTTTATAATAGGTACCTTGGATATGTAAGGTATCACATCCGGGTCTTGTTAAGTAGAATTTGATATTGATGTTTTTTATCATTATGTCTCTTGTGTTCACATTGGAAATGTTACACTACAAGTGAATTGATGGAGAAACGATTATTAAAAATTTCACAATGCAAAAAAGGGCGTAGCCAGCAATATTGTCAAGGGGTGTGATTCGCTGCGAGCGAAGCTGTAAAGCGATCCCGGGAAAGCGATCTAAAGTAATAATCATAATTATCATAATCATTTAATTGATAAATGCGTTACCTTTGTCCCTTAAGTGCAATGAACTATTGTAATTACAATGAACTATTGTAATTACAATGAACTATTGTAATAACAATGAACTATTGTAATAACAATGAACTATTGTAACTACAATGAATTATTGTAACTACAATGAACTATTGTAACTATTGTAACTACAATGAACTATTGTAACTACAATGAACTATTGAAATTACAATGAACAATTGAAATTAATGAACAAAGGTAACAAATTAAGATTCAAATATTGTGACAAATGTTGATATCTTATTCAATAAAAACGTCCGGCTGCCAAACTTATGGAGGGGAGTGTATCTTGTACTCAATGAAAATAAATCGAGGTGTACCCAATATTTTGAAACAATGCTTTTAATTATTATTCCAAGTGAAAGTGTGAGAGAACAAAGCTACCAATTGAACGATACATCATGAACATCCCTCGGCACCAGTAACAAACAAAACTGACAACAGCAACGTTCGCAAAATTACGACAATTATACCCGGTGGTATCATTAAAGAGCAGCGTTTCAAACAACACAATTATACGTACCCATCTATCAATGAATAAAATGATATACCCTACATGCGATCATGTTTGAAATATTTATTTAGTGTCTGGATGGGCCAAATGAGAATATCAGTATAATTCAAATTATAGAAATTAAAAATAAACACGGATCAGTTTATTTGTACGAAAAACGAGTTCGGAATCGAGTACATCTCGACTGGCGTTTCATGCTGGGTCAACTATATTAAAACATTAAATCGATTAGGGTTTTTCGATTCCCATGAACAATTCAGATGATATATCATTCGCCTGTCTATATTACCCTCTAGACAACCTACTAGCCATCCTAATTGATCAAAATATGAATTATTTATTTTTTATTAAAGTTTAGCATGACTGACAATTCAGTTTCCATTGGGTTATATTCTACGAGTGGATAAACATCCAAGGTACTAAATGAACTTTCCGATAAAACAGAATAACCTTCATTGACTGTGAAGTAGGTAGCCTAAAAGATAACAACTGATAATGGTGTAACAAATTCACGATGGGTTTATTGATAAAATGTGGGATCCGACTGATTATTGACAACTTCATATTTCTTCGTTAGATCTTGATATCATCGGGGCGTCACACGGTATTGCGGGTCCCATAGGCACAGGAACAGATATGAAGTAGTTAGCCTAAAGATGACAACCGAGAATGGTGTAACAAATTAAGAAAAGGTGTGTTGATTACGAGTGAGTTCCTATTCTTTCTAACTGATTATTGACAGCCAGGTAATTCATTATTAAATGACGTTGATATCACCGGGGCGTCACGTGATATACCGGGTCCTATAGTTCTATAGGTATACATTGAACATTACCTTACCAAACCTGAACGCAGTAATTCCATCGATGCGATCGTTGTACCTCTCCACCGTATCATAGCCTAAACTAAGCAGAGGATATGAGAGAGAAACGAAAATTGGCCCCATCTCCAAATCTCATTATGCCATAGTTATAATATATCCATGGAAACACCTGATTTAGGAATTCTTGACTTTATGAATATTCTCCCTGGGATAGCTATTTTTTAAAGTGAACCCAAAATGTGTATATAGTATGCATATATAGAGGTGAAACCCCATCCATCAACCTACTAATATACATGACTGTAATACCCATAAAACGTCTGGGGCTGAAAGGAGAATATTTAATGCCATATTGTAAAAAATATTGTTCCTAGTCTGCCTAGTCTTCCTCGTCTCCTCTTACGGCTTGGATTTTTCAGACTTGAGTCAGAGAGCTAGAGGGTTGGGGCGAGGGGAAATACATTTCAATGGCGCGTCTCCTTTGGGGGACAAATTGTCTCAGACAATAGAGAGATTAAGCTCAACGTATTTGAAGGAACGTGAACGTGTACACTATGGTTCAATCTTTAGGGATTAGTTGTTCCCTTCGTAGTATGTACTATAGTATTCGCCCGATTGAGGATATAGGAAAATATTAAGCAAATATTTCATTCTATGGAGGGCAATACCTGTTCATCTTTCAATGATTTTTGCGGTATGTATTGCCCGCAGCCCGTAGGGCGAGGGAAATACATGATTCAAAAATCATTGAAAGTGCAACAGGTATTGCCCGAACATAGAATGAAATATTTGTTTTATTATATCATTGCTAGACATTCCCTATGATCATTTATTTTAATCAATTAATATATCATTAATCCATAAGTGAACATAATTACGTACAAGTATCATTGAATGGTACACTTTATTTTCGTCCAGTGTAGTTGTCAGAATTCCCGGGCGGGCAATACGCCGGGCAATACGTCTTTTTTTATCCTAAAATTGAGGGAGCTGTGAAATACGTTATGGTATTTTTGATTACATGGTACTGACTAGACCAATCAAATCACACAATTTCTAGCAATGATATAATAATTGTTGTTATTAGGTATCTGGGAAAACCAATTGAGAGTGGAACACTTATCAATTATTGTGGTCATTAAATTACACGTTCACGTAAACGTTTTCTTAAAACGTGTACCTTAACCTCACTTGTGAGCTTTTTGCGAATTAGCGTGTCTTTTGTGGCTTCCTTGGTTCGGCCAAACAAACAGAAGCCAGATAACAAGCAAGCAAGCGAACAAACACGTAGAGACGCAATCAAACAAACGCACACATTGGTTTTCAATCATCAAACTTGTTTTCTACATCAATTTGAAAAATTCCGATCAAAGACGTCTTATCTCGTAGTTTAAGTCTAGTTGGGTGGTGGAATTGTGGAATGATGTTAGCCAAGTCACACATCGTGAGAGATCGTGGAATTCTACCAAAACCTTCCCAGAGATATATTGCAATTACAAAACATAAATATGTGATGATGAGTATTAGAAATTGAGTTACACTTCTTCATTTTGCTTTGAGATTCTAAGTTGGTTGTGTTGTAAAGAACTGTTATTTCTGATAAAAACATCATTTTGGTTTAACATGGTTCGTATGATTTATGGCGAATTTTGGATTTTTCGAATGTTGCCATTTGTGCTTCCTGTTTTCTTTACTTCTCCAATGGATTCAAGGTGACATGTATAACACTCTAAAAATGACTAGACAGTATGTAGATTCGGGCCTAGAAAATGACGGTATCTGAACTTACCCGTCTAAAAGGGTCATAAGGTTATAGACGAACCCTGGGGAAAACGAGTCATAAAATTCTGTGTGACTAACCCTCGTAGAATAAAGGGTCATACATTATGTGCGTCTAGCCCCTCTGAAGTGCCCTTTGCCCCATTGAAAAACAGGGTTATATACGTATATGCTATTAGTCCCTGTGAAATAAATTCTTTCATATTCGGACATCAAAATTTGTAAGTAGCCCCTGTGAAATAACTGAGGGCTACATCACTCCTGTGTAGTGTAGCCCCTATCAAATAGATGGTCATACAATTCTAAATGGACATATGTCCCCTTTACACAATCACCCTGAGAAAAAGACTATATAACGTTATATACTTCTGATTCCTGGGTAATAAAATGTCACAGTGCCCTATGCATGTCAGCCCCTGGGGATTAAGGGGTCAACAAGGTTTTATGCTACTCACCTCTGGGGAATAGAGAGTTATATGGTTCAGTAGTAGTTTCCTTGCTCCGCGGGGTGGAAATAACTGGCGAACTTGTAGATACATGTATCTCTCCAGGTTGTAGATTACCTAGTATTGTAGATATGTTTTCTAAACTTAACTTTATACCTGCATTATTCATGTTTAGAGTATCTATACTGGATTTGTGCTGGTGTAGATGCTGTCTTAAAGTTTGTAGGTTTTCTTGTTGTTTTTCATCAGTCTTTTTAATTCTATTAACCTCCTTCCTAAGGCGTCTTAGTTCATGTTCCAAATCTCGATTTATTTGAGTCTGGGCGTCTAGTTTTTTAGATAGTTGACGATTTTTGTAATCCATATTTGACATGAGACGTTTTTCGAAATTGATGAGCTTCTTTTTCACCATTTCGTCTATTTTTATTAAATCGTCTAAACAGTTACATCCCTTATTATCAATTCCATCGTTTACGTCATCGTAATTGTCGTCTGCAAACATTGTGTCTTGAGCTGCAACAAGGTGCACCAAGTATACGAACGCTACCAACTTTCCACCATTCATTTTTATTATTCTCCTCATTTTTGCATCTTTAACATCTTAACACTACGTTAACATCATAACTTAAAATGCAGACATGTTTTCTTTAAAACCCTTAAGTTTTTTACAACTAGATAAAATATTGGTTAAAAAATACCCTTCGCAGTTCATTTCCATTCATCACCCACTTAATGTATTGAAAGAGACCGAAATGTCTTTTCATTTCTTCCTATCTGAAACCTCACGGAGGCTACGACTGCTCCTATTGGTTGCAAACGTCTATTAACTGATTTCCCAATTCTTCATCAGGGGCGAACCATTTGAGAAACCATAATCATGTTATCAAGCCATATCGGAGCTAGATACGCGTTTCAGTCATGTTAGCGTTGGTCCAAAATCTACATGCACCATTTATACACGGCATACAACATTGACTTCTCTTTTTCTCAAATCCAGTCCCGCTATTTTACATGTTTTATTATTTAATTTCTGTATAGCATTTCAAATAAAATTCATCCTTCATTCAACTATGGTTTCAATTTCTAAACGATTATAAATAGATACAACTAAATGTTATAGAGAATTAATGAACCTATCGTATTTCGTACTCTGTTTAAATCTACACTCCCCTCCATAAATTTTGAGACCATCAGAAGTCTTCATTTGATAGCATACAGTCTATCAATGTTTGACTCTTGATTTTGTTCCTCAATTGCAGTAGTTTGGATTTTTTGATATTTTTTTAATTCGCCAAGCATAAACTTACTTGATAAGTGATCCAAAAAATGTTTGCCAAACTTGTTGAGGGGAGTGTACCTTCTTTCTGTCGATATTCTCAACTACTGTAAACTACATCCACAATTTCAATCCATCTAGCTAGACATTGTATGCATTTCACTTGTTAGGACCTGACATGATTGATTACATAGAGATTATGATATATGAGGTTCAGGATATCGAAATTATCCAAGGGTGCCTTTTTGGTACGATCTACATTTTACTTTTCTGCTACTGTCTAGTTTTGACGAACAATGACTAGCGATCGATTTGTTAGTTGCTACTGTTCCAAATACGGACCCAGGGATAATTATGTTATTACGGGGATCATTTAAATATCCCATATGCAACTTGATGTTAAACTACTGTCACTATACTTTCTATTCCCTAAATTAAACGGATAAAACGCGTATCTAGACCTATACACGGTGTGTGAGTAAGCTTCTCTATCAATCAATTGATAAACATCGGTATTAAATTCATATTCTTCAGACCACGCACATTGATATGTAGTTCGTCAGATCCAATTTGGTCTTAAAGCTTAAATAATCTTATAAGATACAGTTTTATAACTGAGTTATCCACGCCATGGGTATGACATGCTCCACCACTGCAACTATCCAAGCTTCATGACCCTGCTAAACTGGAAATGCTACGTTGGTTTGTTTAGAATTCCTCTAAGATGATGATGTGTATTTTGTATCTTATTAGCTAAAATAATGTATGTAATGGCTATGTACTGGCCGAGGTTTTCGATACAGGGGCAGAGGGAGATACATATATTTCCCTCGGGATAAACCCTGTATCTAAAACCTCTCATAACCCACGTATACTAAATGGGTGGATTAACATGCGAGCCTTTAACGTTAAATATCATCTGAAACATCAGATCTAGAAAAATCGAGATTATTTTTGACGTATGATGAATATAATTAGTGTGTTTTCACTCCTTTGGCGTGTATCATCTGTTCCCGTCTGCAGATGTCAATGTTTACAAGTTAATTATATTCCAGAACTGGTAAACAATGGATAAAAATAAACGCTGATTCTTTTATGTTTATTTTGAGTGAAAACAACACGTCTCGGCATATTGAGGCTGCTGACGTGATGTGAGAGATGGTTATTTTGTGGATGCTCATTTATTCAATGTTTGTGAATAAAGGTTATTAAAAGAAAAACAATTGATATAAACATCATTCAAATATTATATGAGTTATGTTCTGGGAGGTTTTCCCGGGAGCGGAATGGAGATATCATATCTGCCTGCATTTGGCCTGGAGCGGGACATATACAATATATCATGCCCGCTCCTCAGATATGATATTCCCGGGTGATATCTACCCCAAACCCACTTAAGTATGAGATACAATACTAATATCATAAACGCATCAACCCGTTATTCACTGGATCCTATACGTGTTTTATCCTTCAGAATGATATTTCCGTTCTGACAGATGTCATATCGCATTTTCTGATAAAATCCATACAAAATTCCATCTTCGGTTGCATTTTGACCATTTTACGATACCATTAATCCCAGTCTTAGATGCATTCATTATTTAAGCATATCAATAAATATAGTTATGTGATAAGATAATACAGAATTAATTAGATACCCCTGCATCATCATCAAGCATCCGGTAACATGTATCCCACTTCTATTGCATTAGAATAAGGCAGGGTCAAAACACAATTTGCAAGACTACCTGAATGTACTTTACTTCAAAAAGATTATCTAAACAGGGAAGTGAGCAGCGGCTTCATCGACGAACTCCAGGATTCTTTTGAAAGAGGAAATTCCCGATGTGAATCATGAAGAGTAAAATAGATCATGAAATGTGAATCAGGGAGTTCAAGACATGACTAAACATCGTATGGTTTTCCCACCTGTGCGTGTATGTGGGCAGATTTTTATCAATTCAAACATATTTCAGGGTTCATGAAACTGGGAATTAAAGATACGGTCTTGCGCAATAAGCTTACAATAGGGAGTTTAAGCTTGCATATAAAATCGAAACGCCAACCTATACGTATGACCATTCACCCATATAAATGCATCGCTTAGATATTTTCTGTTCACGTTTAGGTTGTTAAAAACATTGCAAGCTTAAACTCCCTAATGATCAATCAATAGCGAGGTTAGCTACACGTTCTAACGAACTTTCGCGAATTACGGTGTAGAACTTGAAAGCGGCAACTCCACGGAATAGCAATCCCAAATGAACAAAATATTCATAAATCTGTTATATATAATATTTACCATCTTGATTTGTAAATATTTACCATCGATATTTGTAGATATTTACCACCTTGATTTGCAGATAATAAAAAAACAGATTGACTGATGGACGGAAGGCTTCACTACAGTATATCCATACTGCACACCGCTCGGGATAAATGTAGTCCTCGACATCTTGATTAACAAGGTTTTAGTTGTTCTTACCCCACCTTGATAAACCGGGTCTCTAGACCAAATAGAAAACGACGATGGTCATCTGGGGATAAGTTATCCCCTTCATAGAATTTACTTGCCTGACTGAGTGTAAAGGTTGGGGGGGGGTACATATTTGTACCTATGTCCCTGGAAAAACAATCGGATTGTAATTCTTTGGGTCGTTGTATTACATGGTCACATGTAACTTAACTTTTCCAGTGTATTGGATCTATATTCAAATTACAAGTTCTTTAAAAGCAACTATGATTTTATTGCGTCCTGCAGTATTTTTGCTAGTGTCACACCCCCCCCCCTCCATGAGTTATGAAGAGGAAGTCCCCTGTTTAGAATTGGTGATTTAAAAAATATCAAATTTTTCATTCTCTGAACTTGTTGTGGAACAAAATTAAGATTCGTACTTTCACAGGCTAAAGATATGCTATCAAATGAAAATTTCCTGTTGCCAAACTTATGGAAGGGGGTGTAACGAGGTATACTGGATGTTCCGATGAGACCCACTAGTTTTAGCCACATGGACATCAAATTAAGAAGCATTCAAATTAATGCACACGGGCTATACAGGGGGCTATAAAGGAGGGAATATACGTCTCACAGCTTTTGTAGAGGTGAGGTGTGTAAGGAAGGGGGGGGGGGGGTCATAAGGGGGTTGAACTATTTTTCAAATATCTAACCCACTTATGATATCTATCATATCTACTGACTATCTTCAAGACGATGCAATGTACATTGATGGGGTTGTGTAGAGTGATCTGCATCTTGAGCAAGGCATCAGCAAGACAAATATCAGCAGCTGTTTGAAATTACAAACATGTTACAAAAGTGTGACAATTTGTTACAGATGCAGACACTTTACACCAATCACAGAAATGAATCCTTTAACAATATGTCCCTACAGTTTGGAACAAAATAAATTACAGGTGGATTTTCAATCACCATATCCAAACCATGGTGGTTTGAAAGTCGAAGTCTCAAATATTGTCTTGATACATGTGCATATCCCTTAAAATTTGCATATTTTACATTATGTATACTCTCATCCACTGATGTTTGACCTCTAGAATATTCTCTTATTTTTAACATGGTAGATCCTCACTTCAGCATATCCATGTGTCATTATTTTTGTTCCAAACTGTACTTTTGGTGTTGACGTAAACACTTCTCCATAAGTTAAGAATAAAGCAAAATTCTAAGTTTTCACTTATTTTTTATTTTTTTAATCAGGCACAGTGTTAAATCATCATAGAATTCCAGGTGACATGTCTCAAGCTCCGGCCAAACATCAATTAAATCCCAATCTTTACGATTTCTAGGGTTCAATGTCATACGGGCCATCTTGAGAAATATCAAAAAGAGGCTATAAATGGCGTCACAGAGGCCATACATAAGTACACATACTTTCAGAAGCATACTTTTAAAGTACATTATTAAAATTTTACAATATTCATTCCAGCGACATCTATTTATGGAAGTCTAAATGACTTTTACATAAAAATAAAGCGACATCTATAGTTATCACGAATGTCTAAATACATTTTTAATCACACTTCATCCAACCGATTACTAAAAACATCAGGAAAATTCAACAAATGTTTGAAAATAATTATATACTCGAATACCAGTTTATACATATAATATAGAGACAATATCATATGTAGCTGTATATTGCACTTTTATCATAAACTACAGTAATAAGCAAAACATGCAAATATATTTTTATCAATGAATGCTATTGCTATAAATGGAATGATTGCATAGTGGATACTGTTTATCAGTAATTAATGATAGCTACCCTTCACCAGGGCAGATATTATTCTAGACTCTTTGTGCGAGAGATGACTCTTTAATTTACCCTTTATCCAAACAGTATGCAGTAGCAGCATGTATACATATACTCACAAAATTTTCTGTTCATGTGTACCTCCTATTCATTTTCTAACTCTCATAAAAGTAAATTAAGAGATAGAAAAAGTCTAATTTGCATAAGAACTGTGAAATGTTCTGATACAGTCAGAGGCGAGAGTGGCTAGCTAATGGTGGTAAAGGGTAATTGATAGCATAAAACATACAAATAACTACTCACAAAAAAATTCTATACCGGTTGAACATGAATATTATGATTTACATTTTAATTACTTGAGCAAACCTAACGAATACGAATTCAGTAGTAAAGACCCAATTACCAAATTCCAAATAAAACATATTTAATGTAGTTGTACGTTAAAGTAATGA